GCCCTGCACCGGGCCGCTCTCCGCGCAGCTGCAGTGAGCGAGTCTCCCCGCAGCCGGAGGCGGCAGCCCGCGGCCCCGCAGGGCCTTCACCCCACTTTTGCGCGGTGGCTGTGACCGCCTGGTTCTGCCGTTTCCGGGGCTCCGCGAGTGCAGCGCCCAGCTCAGGGCTGCCGACTGTCCCTGTCACAGCAGTGACCCGCGCCCATCGCTGCAGCGCTCGGGCGGAAACTGCCGTGCTTGGAAAACGGGTCCCTTGTCGTGGGCAGTTTTCCTGCGCTTGACAGCGTTCCCTGCAGCAGACTCGGGAGGCCTCCGGGACCGCTCCCGGGGGTGCCGTGGGAGACCCTCAGGCCCTGGCAAGTGGCATGTGCGTGGAGGTCACCCACGCAAGCTGGCTTCCGAGTGCCAGGCCGGGATTCTGCGGAGGCCTTGCGGGAGCTGAGAGTGGGGGTGGCCACGGGGAGCAGGGTGTCCCATTAACGCTGTGGTTCCAGTCACCTGCTCACACTGGCCCCGGGGGACCCCGTGCCTGCGTGAGCACCTGAGCCTTCAATCTCAAACCACTTAGCGTGACAGTGATTGCTTGGCCTTTTCCCCAGGAAGCTTCGGGGTAGCCATCCACACAGGGAGCGCGGCCACTTCACAGCACTCAGCCGCGGGGTGCTCTAGTGGGTGCTGGCTCCGTCCTTTCCCGGGGGCCCACTGGCCCCTCACCTCGTGCACTGCAGAACCTGCCCCAGCCTCAACCGGTGACAAACGGTGAGTGGGCCATGGTCCCTTCAAGGTGACCCAGGTCCTCAGGCCCTGGAGACCTCACCCACTTGCAGGTGGCAGCTGCCTACCCCAGGTGCCTTGGGCTCAGCCTGGTTATCTCAGGTCCAACATGAAGCTGCAGGAGCTGCCCTCAGAGACACAGAAATGGAAGGGGAGCCAGGCCTGGTGGTGCATGCCTGTGATCCTCTGGGAGGCTGAAGCAGGAGGATCACTGAGAGCTGGAGGCCAGCCTGAGCTACACAGCGAGACCCCAGCTCAAAAAAACAAAAGAAATAGAAGAAGAAGCCCCTGCCTTGGTGCTAAGGAGAGCCTGGAAGTAAGACGGCGTCCCTATAGAAAGACAGTGTCCCTGTGGGAGCCCACAACATACTCAGGCAGAAGCCAGCTGGCCCCGAGAGCAGGGTGGGAAGGCTGTCTCAGACAAGCCAGGTCAGCAGTTCCGAGAGGCGTCCCGGGGCCTCAGCAGGCTGGGGGCAGAAAAGCGGCTCCGAGGCCCAGCTGGAGGGCACTGTGGCGGAGGGACAGCAGGGTGGCGGCTGAGGGTGGCAGGGAAGGAACAGCACAGCCCTGAGGGCTGCACGCTGGGATCTGGAGGTGGAGGAGCGATTTGAGCCACCCCAGGTGTGCCTGGCGCTGGGAGCTCCGCTGTGCTGGGCAGGGGGGAGGGCGGGACGCCAGAGACAGCCGGGCCTTGGTGCGAAAGGCGGAGGAACACGGCCCAGGAAGCTGAGATAAGAGCTGTTTCCAGGGAGTGATGGTTGCTATAAAAGCTTTCAGCGGGGAGTGGGGCCACCTCCCCACCCCGGGGGGGCAGTATTTAAATTGTGTCCTACTGGGAGGAAATCAGCCACAGTTTACACACCGCATGATTTCTCGTATATGAGAAACCAAGGAATAAATACATTAAGGAACAAAATAAAAGGAAACAGGAATAGATACTTGTAAATGGGGAGGGGATCAGGAGATGGAGGGGGGTGAGGGTAGGGGAAGGAGATGAAAAAAGAATTAAAATGTGTTATATAAGCCAAGCGTGGTGGCCTGCACCTGTAATCCCAGCACTAGGGAGGCTGAGGCAGGAGGATCACCATGAATTCAAAGCCAGGCTAGGCTACATAGTGAGTTCAAGGCCAGCCTGATACAGCGAGACTCTGTCTCAAAAAAAAAAAAAAAAAAAAGAATGAAGATGTGTTCTGTCCATGTACCAGCTCCGTGAGAGAAATGTGATCATTAGGTACTACAAACATGGGCTAATAAGAGTGAAAATTAAACAAAAAACTAAAGCCGAAACGGCAGTGAGGCATGAAGATGTTTCAGGTGGGTCAGCTCGTGAATGCGTAGGAAAGCCGGGGGAAAGAGGGAAGTCTGGTAGCCACGGCTTTTCTTCTCCTGGGTAACATTTGGCGAGTATTTACCATGGCCAGCTGCTGTGCGGCGTGTGTGGATTATCTCATTCGGTAAGCAAAGGGGCTGGGGAAAGCCTTGTGTAGCTCAGCGGTAAAGCACGTGTCTGACGTGTGTAGGGCCCTGTTCTGGGGCACAGAACCAATTATAGCAGCTCTAAGAAACAGCCACTGTTATTATCTTGCACAGGAGAAAACCAAGGTCCAGAGAGTTAAGTACCTGCTCATCACAAGCTATTACTGCGGTGAATCCAAGATGTTGGGCTCCGATGGCATGGCCTCGAGATGCTTGTCCTTAAACTACTCCTACGGATGGCATGGCTTGCTGGCTTGCTTTCCTTCTTCTTTCCTTCTTTCTTTTTGAGATGGGGTACCCTGTGTTTTGGGGGTTGTTTTTTGTTTGGTTGTTTGGTTGATTTTTGTCTGAGACAGGATCTCACTATGCAGTTCAGGCTGACCTTGAACTCATGGTGATCCTCCTGCCTCAGCTTCCTAAGTGTGGGGAGTTTTTTGCTTTTTGAGACAGGGTCTTGCTATGTAGTTCAAGCTGCCTTGAACTCGCTGTGTAGCTCACACTGGCCTTGAATTCACAGCAATCCTCCTGGCTCAGCCTCCCAAGGGCTGGGATTATAGGTGTGTGCATCACAGTACCCAGCTTTTAATTTACTTATTTAACAAATAAATATTATATATTTTATTGTGTATAGCATGCTGTGGACCAGCCAGATAATCTCTCTCTTGCTCTCTCTCTCTCTCCCTCTCTCTCCCTCTTTCTCCTTCCCTCTCCCTCTCTCCTGGAGATGGAAGCCAGGGCCCCGTACACAGAAATCATACCCTTTACCACTGTGCTATACCTCCAGCTTCCTCCCATCCAAGCACTAACCAGGCCCGACCCTGCTTAGCTTCCGAGATCAGACGAGATCAGGCGCATTCAGGGTAACCTCCAGCTTCCTTAGTGTTTATTTCCTGTTTTATTTTTCATTGATTTTCCCTAAACCTCGTAACAAACTTCATTCTGAAAATTCCCATCAGTCTTGGCTGACCTCAAAGCAAAATTTAAAAGAGTTGGGAGAGAAACGGCTGTGGGTGTCCTGGTCTCGGCAGAGGGACCTGGTACCCAGGCAGCTCACAGGCGGGCCCTGGGGCACAGAACAGGGGTGGTGCGAGTTGGGCCCTCCCTCTCCTCGTCCTGACACAGGGCCTGGCGGTGCCCGCTGTATTTTGGCCGATGGAGAATCAGCCGCAGAGAGGATGTGAGGAAACCGGAGATTATGCCAGTTTTCTCCGTGACACAGAGCGCAGGACCACCCAGGTCGCTGCCCAGGCATCTGCTCGACCACCCTGGCCACCGCCAAGCTGCATGCAATGCTGCCCTTCCTCCAATCTGACCCAAGTGGCGGGGGCGGCATTCCAACATGCCGCTGGGACAGTGTGGTCCTGGCCAGAGCACATCTGTCACAGATCTTTCCAAGGTGGTAGTTTCCTAGTAACTCTGGAGGCTGAGGCAGGAGGATCCTCCCAAGTTTCAGACCACCCTGGACTACATAGTGAGACCCAGTATCACAAAAACAAAACAAAAGCAACATACTAGAAGGAAAAATAGAAACACCACCACCAAGCAAATAAGTTATTAATTTC